GGGCACCTCCCAGGGGCTCAACTGAAGCCTGGGACACAGCCCTGCTCATGCCCCACATCTGTTTTTCTGCACCACCTATAAAACATCCATCTAAGTACAGTTAGATAAAACAATATTTTAACAAAAATATGCAACTAATGGAGTCTTCTAAATATTAAGTTGAAAAGTTTTAAATCAACCTACTTTTTAAAAGTAGATTCCAAGTGTCCTTTATTGCCCTGTTAGTTCTCCGCTAGAAAGCAGCCATTAATATTTAAAGAGACGATTAAAAATAATCATCTCACCATATCATGTTCTTCCTTTTGTTTGTTTAAACAATTTTAGTTAAAATATTCTACCAACATATTTTCCTCCAATTCTTAATGAAATGCCATTTTTTAAATGCATATAGGCTCTGGGAAATTGTTAAAACATTCACACTATACAAGAAGGTTGATTAAAATATTCCTAATTCCTACTCTCATCTAACTTGTTCTCATTGCAATCTGTTCTTTCTGTCTCTGTTTTACTTTCCCTTGTAAAGAGGACACTGTTTGGGAGAGGAGAGGGTGAGCTGGATTCGTAGGAACTTCCCAGCTCTGCTCCCCTGAATTCATGTGCTCAATCAGTTCTTGTACAGAAAGTGCTCTGTCCCCCACCCCCATCTGCCCATTAGAAGCTAAAAACAGAAACACCAAAACACACCTCCATCTGAAAGACTAGTATTCAGTTTTCTATATTTTTCATCCTATTACAAAATCAAATAGAACTCCTAATGGTTTCATTCGCAAAATGTGAGGAAAATACAAGTAGATTTTACTTGATTTTGCACTTAATTTGAATTGTTATTCCTTATTTTTAAATAGAGGTAAAATTCTCAAGGTAAATGAAAGATTTCAGCAAAACATAACATCTGAACCCAAATACTAATCAAGATGATCTTTCCAAAATTCCACATTCAGTTTACCATTACATGAGATTATATTAAACTCACTGGGGTAAATTTTAGAGATCTCTCCATACCCTCACAAAGATGCAATCATGTGAGCTGAGGGAGAGATGGCAGCCACCTACAAGCCAAAGAGGAAGCTTCAGCATGAAACCTAACTTACCCACACCTTGTGCTTGAGCTTACCAGCCTCTAGAACTGCGAGAAACAAATACCTATTTTTTTCATGCCACCCAGTCTACAGTATTTTATTATAGCAGCCCAAGCAGACTAAGACAGAAAAGTCTTATCGAAATTCAAGATATGTTCTTTAAAAAGAAAAGTGAGAGGTTCCAGTCATCTTCCTCTACATGCCAGTATGAAATTTGGTATTATGAGAATCAGCACTTATCTTCGATCCTGAGGTGATCTTGAAGATGCCACAGATAGAGGACAGGAAAGATGGTACCAGTCCTGGTGGAAACATGGAACTGTCTTACTAGCCCTGCTTCTGGAGATCCTACTTCTGAACTTCATTTATCTGAGATAAAAGGTTTTGGCTGTCTTGTCTAAAGCAGAGTTATGTTTGTTCTTTGTCTTTGCTGTTTCCCTGTGACAGGCTGTAGAACCTAACTGCAATTGATGTGAAAGACAAGAACCATGGGGACAAAGAATTGAACACAGACAGAACCAGTCCTAGCAACTTTATTCTTCACCAAACTTGTTAATATTTCTAGTCCTTGAGTAAAGAACAATCAAGACTTGTTATCAAAATCCATGAATAGCCTCTATTTTTTATTTTATTTTATATTATATTATTCTCATGATTGAATATGGGCATAATCATTTTCATTCAATTCTCTTATAATTTAAATAGTCTGAGATAAGGATAAAAATGTAAGTATTATGTTATTTCAATCAGTTAACTTAATCTATTTCATTCCAGATCCTGTTTTTTCATTAAGGTCTAAATCAAGTAAGAACCAACATCTGGAATTAAAAATCAGTCCCTCGGAGTGAATTTATATTGTGATGTAAATCATATATACTTAAAGAAATTTAAGTATATTAAAGGAATACAGTTTTCTTAGTTTCTGAATCTCAGGATGTCCGATTTTGACACAGTTTTACGGAAATATCTTAACGATCTTTTTTTTAATTTACAGTGATATTTGTATTTTAGGGGGAGGTGATTAGGCTTATTTATTTATTTTAATAGAGGTACTTACTGGGGATTGAACCCAGGACCTCGTGCATGCTAAGCATGCACTCTACCACTAAGCTATACCCTTCCCCGATATATTTATATTTATGCTTTGAAACAATCTCAAATTATAGAATAGTTGCAAGAATTATACAAATATACATTTTTTCTGAACTATTTGAGACTCAGTTGCCAAAAAGATGCTCCATCCATTTACCTTTGGATGGCCTACATATGAGAACATTCTCTTACATAAACATAACACAACCATCAAAATTGGGAATTTAGCATGATTCTGAACTAGCTTCTGTTATAAAAGCCACTATTGAGATAATGAATGAAACTCGAATGGGATCTGCTGATTAGATAGCATGAATTTATAAGTTTATATGCAAGTTCACTAATTCTCTTTTAAACTGTATCTACTATAGTCTTTAACAGAACAGGTTTTGAATCTTTACTTTCATACAGTAAGTCTGAAATAAGACATAAGGCTCACTTCTTTTGAAAGCTGATTTACTGTCATCCTAAAATATCATACACATTTTGTTACAGATTTTAGTGGGATGGGGAGGAGTAAGACAAAAACACAAATATTTTAAAATTCTGTTAGCCTAAAACTATTTGTTCTTGGACGACAATATTTATACGGCACTTGAAATAATTTCAAGTGGAACAGTATTTAAAACAGCTGAAAGGCAAGTTGCTCTGTTTGAAATGTGAAAGGACCCTGAACCTGTTCTCAGCTTCCCATCACCCCACTACTGTGCTTGAGGCATCTCTATAGAACCCTGAGCATCCCAAAACAGTTTCTGAAAAAAAAATTGAGATAGGATAATACGGTATAATAAAGAAAATAATAATGATTGGAGAAAGCGCTCAGGAATATTTTACAGCATACACGGTACTTGAAATATTGAAGAATGGTTATAAATTTGGCGTGAAGGGCACTGCAGCAGGGGACAGTTTATGCTGAATTCTCCTCTATACAGAATAGAGCTAATCATGTGTCATTTTATTTACTTACATAAAGAGGCAGTTTCATTCATCCTGACATTCTGCTTGCAGGGATAGAGTAGGGGCATGGGATACAAAATCATAAACAGGCAAAGAAAAAACCAAGGCCATTGGGTAAAAAAGCCAAGGTGACTGGCCCAGGTGACTCTCTCCAAAGCAAAGCTCCTTCCGTAGGCAGGATGCAACACATGTGCTTCATCTGGCCAGAACCATATGTTGTAGATGCCTATACGTAGCATTTAAATAAATAGCAAAAACGAACATCGTTGTGTACAAGCAAATGAAATGTCTCTCCCAGGGCATTTCAGGAGATGTGAAAGCAGCAAGTCAGGTGATAAGACTGGTGCCCGCACCAGGGAAAGACCATGTGTGGACATGAAGATGCCACCAGCAAGCCAGGAAGAGGGCCATCACCAGAACCCAGCCATGCTGGTACCCTGATCCTGGACACTCAGCTTTCCAGACACAAGAATTAAGAAAAATAAATGTCTATTTTGTAAACCAAAAATGTTTCACTCATCTATAGTAAACATCGAAGAACCTGACTTTAGAGTCAGACTGGTTTGGGGACTCCAGTTCAACCATTCTTCTCTACATAAGCTCTCTCCCTTAGTGAACTTATTTTATCTGATGGTGTTAAGTGTCATCGATATGCCTTTCACTTCCAAATTCATATGTGTCTTCACCCCTGAATTCTAGGTTCACATATCTGTCTGCCTACTTGTCATTTCCATTTAGATGTCTAACAGCATCAGAAATTTCTCTCCAAATTTAATTCATCCAGATCTTTTTCCATCTCAGTCAATGGCAACTCCATCATTTCACTTACATGGGCAAACTTCTTAGAGATGTCCCTGACTCTTCTCATTTTAATGAGACTTAATCCCCATATCCTACTTAAAATTATACACAGCCCTTACACTTCTTATCTTATTCAGCTCCACTTGTTTTCCATTACATTTGAAACCTAGCACATTATATGTATGGAGACACGGACTCAGTTTAAAGGTTCTTATAATACTCAAAGTTTAGAGTAGTAATTATGGACTTAGAGGGAATTAAAATGACAATGAAGAGCTGACTATAAGAATCACCAGTTCTAAGGATTCCAAAGTGGATGCATGCGTGCGCACACACACAAAGACACACACACATGTCAATTAAAGAAAAGGAATTACTTTTATACACACACAATACATTTGGGTAGAGTGCATAGATTAAGTTTAGTTTACAGTTTTGGTCACTATAAGAGTGAGATATTACAAATAAGAAAGGCAACAGGGATACAGGAAAGCAGTTGTGGTGGCAACAACACTGGTTCAGTTTTAGCTATTTCAGTATAAAGGTTCCCCTTATCATCTTTTGTTAAGAGTATTACAAACTAGATTCGTGGTTCCCAAGTGACGCTTTAATTTGGAAATTTTTCTCAGAGAATAATTAGGGACAAGTTAACATCAGCTTAATGCAGTTTAAACAACTGTTCTGCTTTTCTACGTATTTGTTCACATGTGGATAATCATCTGTATTTTCCCATCTCTTGCATGTTCGGATATTGTAGTTTCAACTCCATTTGATCATATGTATTAAGTGTAAACCTATGGTGTGAGCGATGACAAAGACGAAGTGTCTAACCACCTCTATTTGAAGTCCCCTAGGACTCGGGTTAATTAATGAGACTCATCCTAAGGTTATACATGATCTATTACTTCCTCTAATTAGAAATAATAATCCTGATCATTATGCTGGTTAGCTGGAAAGAAGTAAGATGAATGTGCTTAACTATGATTAATAGTCTTTAAGCAGTATAGATCTCTTCTGTCACTGACTTATATGCAAACTGGGCTGCAACTCAATGCTTTTCATGATACATACTTTTTAAAACTCACAGAAAATATTAATTTTCTGGAAGATCCTTTTTTATCTTCCCTGATAAAGAATAACCATTTTCTTGTTTTAAAATTGATTACCACAACAAAAAATACTTAGTTTTCCATTTTGTATGAAATAGCTATCCAATAATTTATTCTTTCACTTTTTTCATATTTTCTCCAAAATTATGTGAATACCTATGTGTATCATACTTTATTTTAGTCCATTCTATTTAGGTGAAATAGACTAGTGCACATGATTATACACAATTTTTTTAAAATTCAAAATATTACAATGATGATTAGAGTATTTCTTCATTGCTGATTTATAAAAGCTGATGTACACCCTTTCCTAAGTGTCAACTTTACCTGACACTTTTATGTCAAAGAAAGTTCTGAGAAGTTATTATCTGGTTAGAGAGATAAAATATATTCACTGAGAAAGTTAATCACCTATTGCTTTAATGTGACTCATTTAGTTGTAGTAAGATTGAAAATTTTTTATTCTTTTTGAATTAAAAAATACAACTTACATAGTTATGTCAAATTACAGTCTTTAAATTTAAAGTCAATTTAAAGTCTTTAAAATACGCTGAATGCACCATTTAAGTTTGGTTTTGATGTCTGAGTAAAGTCAGGTGTAATTACACCAACCTTAAAAAACTGGGACTGAAGAAATTCTAGTGCATGCTGATTTTTATTTCAAAATCTGCAACAATATAATAGTATACGGGAAAGCAAGGTGGTCAGAAATTTAGCATTTCTATACCTGTTAAAATTTGTTAATCCAAGGAGACAGAGTATCTTACAAATAAAACACATTAACTCTAAGTCTTCATTCAAAACTCACTAATGGGGAATAATTTTACTTCTGAACATCAGTATGCTCATTTTAAATGTGGTGATAATAATACTTATTATATGTTTATTGACAGAATTGAGAATTAATATTTATCTCATACACTTATTGAGAGGTGCCACTTAATATGCATAAAATATTATCACAGTGATTAGCTTACACTGTTTCTCAAATGATGCATGTTTCCCTTCCATGTGGAGAAGTATGTGCCTGGCCATGTGTGAAACACACTTGAATTTCAAAATTAGGTTTCCCTCTTGTTATTTTCATCATGGGAAGCCAGAGTGACTAAGTGTTCAAACTATTCAGTATCTGCGATTGACACTAAAAAATTCACAGGCTCACTTAACAAATTCAAAGTTTTTGCTATCAAAGTTGTGCACAGATATCATATTTGGAACTCTGAGTGAGATTGCTAAATATACAGATATGCCTTCGAAAAGGTACCGGCCCTCATTTCCTCTTTCGATAATTAATGGCTACACTCTCTAACCAATGTATTAATTTTATCACTCAGGATTTCCTCTTTCTCCATTTGAGTTTAGTAAGTCATATAAGATTTTCTACTCCCAATATGTTGTATTTATTTATTTATATGTGCCTGAACTGTGCTTGTAAATTAAGGCATATAAAAGGCATAATCCATAGAATCACCGATGAAGTAATGAATAAAAAAAGAAGATATAAAATCATATATATTAATTCAAGTCTGTGACATATCTTTGTTGGTTAAGAGGTGTGTAAATTTTCTTGGAGATCCTGAAACTCACAGCATCTTCTTACGGAAAGGAATTAGAGATTGGAAGAGAGGAACATATAGACAGGAAAACAAAACCAAACCAAAAGAACCTCTACAATTTCACAGATAAAAGCAAAGTAACTGTTTTCATGTTTGATGGGAAACAGAAGCAAATAAATATAATATATTCAATCTATAGACTATCCTAAATATAGGTGGAAAGAAATCTTATTGTTGATGTTGGAGACCCTAGGGATAATTTAGAGGTTTTTAAATACTCAAAACATGATTTTGAGCACCTGTGTTAAACTGGAAATACACATGAGGTTTTCATTTTGACTTAAAATTTTGGAAGGTAGGGATAAATTATAATAGAGTCTTCATTTTTATTATTCATTTAGAAAAAATATTCCACACAAGTAGAGTTCATTTTATTTTTTTGTAAAGACTTTTTATCGCCACCAAAATAACTCTTTCAAATAAATATAATAATATATATGGAGAAAGTACACTTGGGAATAAATAAATACATATGTACACAACAAATGTGTGTAGTTAGTAATAATTTGCAAAACCTTCAGAATGACAAAAGATCTCTTACCAATTTGAGTCTAAATGGATATATCCTCAATGATTAATCTAATCAGAATGTCACTGCCATTCAACTATAAAACTGACATTTTGATAAATTAATAAAATATTTTCTGAATTTGTTCTCATCTGCACATTAAAAATTGTATTGATAGCTGGATGTATGACCCTCTAAGATCATAAAAGTAACACATATGAAAGCTACGAAAATTTAAATTTAAAAAATCATACCTGTAGGCCTTGACCATCCACAGTAACGGAGTTGGCTCTTTGCATTTTGTTCTTGTCAGTTACTTTGTTTAATTGCTGGGAACCACCCTTTTCTTTTCTCACTGTTGCTTGTCTTTCCTATAAGGGAAAAAAAACATAAAAATGTTGAATTGTTTTATGACAAGGAACAACATACAGAAACATTTCATGGCTACACACTTGGGCCCAGTTTCCTAATTTGGAGTTTCTAGTGAATACTGGAGAGCTAGTGCTTTCCACTGGCTCAATTTATACGGTAGATGCATGGTCAAACTATTAATCGAAGAAAGGACGTGAATGGAAACCAAACTCTATTATCCCAATTATGCCTGTATTAAGTTATTAGGTCAACTAAAGCAAATTATTTTCATAAACAGCAGTACAGATAATAATATAGGATTATAAGTTGAAGAATTTGGTAATGAGCACTGGAAATAATGCTTCTAAATGCATGCAATTTTGAAAATGAATACATGACGGACCTTTAAGCTATATCAAGAATAGCATAAAACTTACAACACACATTCCACCCCAGCTAATTCCTATGTTCACTGTAATAAACATTTTTTTACAGTTGTCTTCTTCCTGTTCCTATTTCTACTCCTCTCACTCTCTTTTCATCCCAACCCAACAAACTTTTCTGACTCTTAATCCAGCAAATCAGCTTTTATCAATGACCTGCTCATTTGCCTCACCTGTTGGTCAGTCCTTCTCTTCTCAACTTTTAAGCAGCATTTGACAGAAGTGACATCTCCTCTCTGGAAAACCTGCCTTACTGGGCTTCCAGGGCACTTGTTCTCCTAGACCTCTTCTTACTTTACTAACAGCTCCGTCATTGTCTTTTTTATTTGTTCCTCCTCCAGCTTTACAATCTGTAACTCTCAACCTCTTCCTTGGACCCTCTCATGTTCACTATCCACACTCACTCCCTAGATAACTTCATTTAAACCTAAGGCTTTCAATTTCAATTTGATAATGAAGACTTCTAAATTTATATTTCGTGTTCAAGGCTTCTTGCTAAAACCTTAACTCCTATATACAAATGCCCTTTCTCTCCCCCCAAACCTGAGTATCATCTAAAATTCATATAAAATGCACATCAATCCTGAAATGTCCAAAACTAATTTTAAAATAAATTTTCTGCCTACGCACCTTGAAAATAAATGCAAAACTGGATGATTACTCAGCACATCCATCATTACATGGTCTAAGCCTCCATTATCTTCTTTGCCTTGATTATTGTAATCATCACCTAACAGATCAATCAGCTTCCATCTTTCCTCTCCCTACAGTCAATTCGCTATACAACAACCACACTTAGCCCTTTTCACTGCATTCCAGCTACACTCACCTCATCTTTGTTCCTTGATCACAACAATGTGTTCTTAATACAGGGCTCTTGTAATCACTCTGCACCTTGCTGGACAGCTCCTCTCTGTATATTTGTTGGGCTTGCTCCTGGTCAAATGTTAGACAGCCTTCTCTATTCCTTTCAGCATGTATGTATATATATACATATATATATATATATATATATAATTTATTACTAACTGAAATATTATCTATTTAATGCTGGTCTTCCCACACTTTAATCAGAGCTCCGTAGAGAAAGGATTCCGTTTACCTCACTATTTTACATCAGATCCTAGATCAGTGCCTGACGACAAAAAGTCAGTATGAATAAATCGAAAAACAAATGAATCCTAACATGAAAAAATCAAAAACTGTAAAGTGCCTGAACAATTGTGTTGAGAAGGATTCTTGGGGCATGTCTAGGCTTGGTGTGAAAAAAAAAAACTGTCCTGATCAATTAGCAAAGTCTGCCTTGTGCGCTTAAGTGCTTAGAGCCACATATTTCTTATCACTTATTTAGATATGTATTTCCTAGTCTCTATATTTGCTTTTTAGAGTATCATTTCAATTACTGTGATTTACGAAAATATTTTTAAGTGGACTTAGAAGTAAAGCTCTTTTTAAATATATTAGGGCCAGATGGAACAGAAAACTTCTTGGCCCAAAATAAATGCTAATCAGTATAGTCCTTTTATAGTCCTTGCAATTTCATGGTGCAAAAACACTGAATATATTTTTTGTGTGGCTGAAAATGGATGGTTTAATAAGATTCCTGAAACTCAAATTCTTTGGGAAATGAAGTGCTTTCTTATGAACATAATTTCTGGCAAAAATATTGATATTTTAAAAATAGGTCATTCTTTCTAAACTTGCAAATTACATTTTGTCCACATATAGTTAAGCATATAATGCATAAAATGAGTGAATTATAGGATGAAGTTTGAGTCAAAAAACCCATGTAGAATCCCATCTCGGCTACTTACTGTGTAACATAACAGAATTTATTCAAAGTGGAGTTAGTAATATCTATTTTACAGAATTGTGTATAGATTAACAGAATATGTATGAAGTTTTCACTTTGTGCCTGTATTAGTGTAGGTGCTCAATAAATGAAGCTTATTGTGAATAATGTAAAACAGGTCTGATTCTCCCATTAGGGTGCTCATTAATATTACCATTATGCAAAGTATTTCTTATATTTCCAAATGCGTAGATATGAAAAAATCCACTAGTCACATTAGGAATACTTCTAAATAAGTAAAGCTCAATGTTGATATCTGAAAATCCATAGCTTGTGTTGAGTTCAAGCATGGTAACACTAGTGGTGAGAATGGCAATAATTTCTTTCTGGATTCTAACATGCAGGTAAATAAAACATGGTAACAATGTTCCATAAAAATCTACATTATAAAAGATACACCTCATCTTATCTGCCTTATATTCTGCCATGGAATCCAACAATTGTTATTTAGCATTTAATTCCCAAATGCTAAAGTTAAGAGAATTAAATAACATTTAAGTTGTGTAGTCACTCTGAAACTCTCTATTTGTGACCATACTATTTATAAACATAATTCTGGAATTTAAGACATATAAATATATGTCTGTAAAGGTTACCAAATCATCTGCTACCATTATTTTACTCTTGGCTCTGCATACAGCTAGGGAAAGTCCTGTGTGCTAAGAATCTCCAGCCAGCAGATCTCACTTGATTAAGTGGCTTCATGCCTCTCCAGGGATTCACTCTTCTCAGTAAACTGTGGAGTACGCTACACTAGTGCTTTCTAGTAATGACTGCAAACTATAAAAGCAAATATTAAAACTCTAAATTGAGTTTATTTTTTGAAGTCTAGATTTTATTTTTGAAGTCTAGAATTATAAGAAGCATATAAACAATTAATAAAAATATCCTCAGTATATCCATCTGTAGGTGAATTTTATTAAGTAATCTGGATAATACTAAAACTAACATGTGTGTAAACACACACAGACACACAGAGACACAGACACAAACACACACACACACACACATACACACACACACCCAAGAAAACCAAGTGGTTTCTTTGAGGGAAACATACTTAGTGGGTGGAATTTGTGGAATTAATCAGGGGTGACAATTTAAAAAGAGGAAAGACTCATAACTATTTAATTTTTTCCAAGGTGTACTTTTTATTACACTCTTTTGTTTTATGTTTATTTCTACATTGTATAGAAGTCTCTGTGAGATATTCACTATATTTTTACTTAAGCAGCATAAGCTAACAGGAGGGTAGTTGGACACTTTTTTCCTATTTCCACTAAGAAAATCTTTACTTCTTTCCTATCAGATAAGAGGGACAGGAAGGGTGAAACTATTGCACCTCTGAAAAATCTACTGCCCACAAAAATTTTGCTGGCCTGTTTTAGGGATTAATTAACCCTGACTGGCAGAGTTCTATTATGATACTTATGAAAGTTACTTCCAATGTTGTAGTTCTGGAAAAGTTTCAGGAAGAGCTCACCAACCTTATGCTGCATCATTATTCAGGATAAACTTGCTCTCTGGTAATAGCAGGGAGTGCTTATCACTTAACGTTCACGTCTTTTTTTTAAGCTTTGGGGTTCTAAATCACTAAATAAATTCCTTTGTGATAATGAAGGCAAATTGCGTTCTGCCAGATAAATTATCCCAGATATAAAAAGAGTTAGAAAACTATTGCTTTAATCAATAGAAATTATTCAAACACTGAAAAGAGCTACTCTAACCAAAAAAAGAAAATTCATGTAAAAATACAGAACGTATAACTACAAAATATAAAATACAGTTATTGATATTCCAGCACTTTCAAATATCAACCATTTATGCTTGCCATGCAGGCACTTTAAATATAAAATTCCATGTCTTGTGGTCCTTAGACTCTCCAAGTAGCACAACAGACCTTAACGGGGGAATGTATTGTATTAGAATTCCAAAAGATTCATCATAATAAGAAATACAGAAGAAAAGCTGAAAAGACCACTCACAGAAAAACGAAAGATGGGATAAATGAAATAAAAAGACGTCACTTTAAATATGAGCTCTAAAAAACATCTTTTTCTATATCATGCTGATTTCTCAGAGGTGGGGTATTTATAAGTTACTGCAAACTGCTTTCACAAAAGGGATGTTTACCATAATACTTAAGCTTGCTGTTATGGATCACTCACAAAGGACAAGCAGCAAGGGATGATTACCTCAAGCACAAGGTTTTCTTCTTTTTGTCCAATCTCAGCATGAGAGACAGGCAGTGGCAAAGCACCTCGATTGTTACAAAGCCGCAAAGGGTGGGGGTGGGGGCTGCCTGCTGCCAACAGCATCCTTCACTGGAATCCTGGAACTTGCTATTTCTGCCTCTGCACCACCTGCCCGAATGGAGACTCAGCCCATCCAGTGCTTGGAGCTAGGCCACAAGGATCTCCCAGGACCTCTAGAATCTTAACCCAAGGAACACATGGATATTCACAATATGAAAGATCTTCCTGAAGCAGAAATGTTACCATGTTCATCAGGGCTTAAAAGGGTTACGAGCTCCAAGAAACCAACTTAAGGACAGCCACGGTGCTGCACCTGTCATTATCGTAACCTTATCTTGGGATCTGAACATTTTCCTGCCAAGAGAATCTAATTCACCTCAAAAATGGCAAGAGTTCTAAATCTGCTAGAAATCCTTAGGAGTTGCAGAAGAACAGTGCTAAGTAGCAAAGTAGCCTTGATTAAAAAAAATATTTAAATAGTTCTAAACCTAAATAAGATAAATGATGTAAAAATTTCCATTTCTTTTCATTAGCTGAATATATACTTTTTAAAAATAAATTTAAATAAATAAATTAGGCACTCAGCAGATGGCAGTAATTCTTACAGCATTAAAAAAACGCTATATTTTATTGTTAAGTTTAACACAGGTATGCTGCTTAGAGTGTAGTAAAGATAGGTGTTGTGAAGAAGTATTTTATTTACTTTATAGTATTTTACTTGTCTACTAAGTCACCATAACTTGGGATAATTTCGATGATCTGGGCAGAGTGTTTTATAGGGTAATAGGAGGAAATTAGACAGAATTAATCCTAGTCTTAAAGTACCTGCAGGTGCTACTTACCAACTCAGCTTGAAGGTACAATTTACAATTTGATTCATGAATCTAGGTTTTCACACATCACCCATGATGTGCAGTCTTTCCAAGAACAATTTTATACTGGGTGTGTCCCACTTACAAGATTTCTGTTCAAGAAATCCTGATTGGTAGAAATGAAATTTAGGAATGGGAAGGAAGGTCTATGCTAAAATCATTTTATTAGGGCTGTTTATGAGCATATGGTTGTGCAATTATAAATTACGTGTGTGTACATGGACCTTAACTTCACTCGCCCTCCACTCTCTCTGTAAACTGTCATAATTGATGGCCACAATAATCCGAAGGTTAAAAGCCAACAGACAGCTCTCCTGTATGTCCATGCTCATCATCTCTTTCTACTAGTTGAGTTAAATGCTTAACCTAGTGATTTCTATGTAGCCAACAATCTATTTATGCAAGCTCTAAGTAGAATTTATCTTGTTATTGAAACTATGAAATTTAATTATCACTCAAACCATTAGCTGTGAGTGTAAAATGAGTGGTGTCCCTGAAAAATTACTTGCTTTCTTTGGAAAGACACGATAATACAAGGGTGTGTGTGTGTGTGTGTGTGTGTGTTTCTGAGGGTACACGAAAAGTGGTCAAATTGAGTTGGACAGAATGGCTGTAAAAGCTTTGAGAATTAATAATACAAATAGAGAGTTTTTATTAACACTAAAATTGCTTCTCAAATGTCCTCGAGTTTTTCTTAGACTTTAAGACAACTGAAAGTAACTGAAAACAATCACATTCATTAATAAACAGATAGCTTTCTACAAAGTAGTGAATACTTCTGTTATACTTTAAAACAAATGAAAACTGAAACTTATCATGGGTGATGAGGCTATGATATATGCCATTTCCAAACAGTAGATGGGTCCACATAGAAAAGCCCTTGATCCTATGTCAAAAGCGTGGTCAATGAATAGACATTTACAGATTTTAAGTAAAATGTTTAAGGAACGCATATATTTCTCCATAAGTTCCCCCGCATACAATATAACCACATTTTCAATTAACCAACAAGTAATTGTTGACAGAGGAACATAAGGCTTCTTGTGTATGTGTACGTATATTTACACACCACCCACATATATATCAATGCATGGGCTTAAAGAAATTTTTGGAACAAAACAGTTGGGAAAAAAAACTTACAGAATGATTTCTGACATGATGGAAAGTCTAAGTTAATGTAAGCCAATATATCTTGCCAAAAAAGAGTAGTGTAGGAAGACTCTTAAAATCTTTATAGAAGAAAAAAAAATTAACAGATTGAAAAAAAAGCATGTTTTGAAAGCAGCAATTTTGGTCTATGTATTCAATCTATAATGATACAAACTGTGTAACTGCATACTGGAGGCCATCTGAAATTAACAAGTCAAAAGAGAAAACTTTAAACCTCAGACACTGTACCTATTTGATGAGCTGTGATGGAGCAAAAATAAACTCAAGGATCTGAACGTGTCAAGTTAATTCTTTTATACTTAAATAATTAGTCTAAGTGATAAACTTTCCTAATGCCTTTGTCACCTTGGTGTGTAATGTAGCCTCTCTATTTTACAATAATTATGGTAATAATGGTATTAACTGATAATATAAAAACAGTTTAATATCTCTCTTAGAAACAGAAACACTATATTTCAATTAGAGCTCCTAGTATATTTTTAAGTCTATCTATGGTTACAAAATGAAATTTTTGAAGATTTTAATGAGGCAGTCTACACTGATTTGAAAATATTTTTATGGGAGAAGGGAGAGCAGATAATACATTTTGTGCAAATATAATATCCTCTAAATGAATTGACACTCTTTATACTATTCACAAATTATGAATAATATTTTTCTAAACAGGGAGATTCAAATTATCATTTTAAGAATAACAGTATCATTTGAGCATACCCTTTAGTGATAATAACAACTGAATAGGATATTGTCACTGAACAACGTGGAAGCTTTGCTTTATTAATTCAGGTAAAGTTAACTCCTTACTGAAAATAAATGTTGTGGCAATGCCTAGATTTATTTTCAATCAAAGTCATTTATTCTGTGACTATATTTTATTCTGGTAACTCTCAATGCAATGTCATAGGCTAAGTGATTAATGTAGACATACCCCCTTTTTTCCCCCAAATTAAAAAAAACATTTTTTTGGTGAAGAAGGCAATTAGGTTTATTTGTTTTTTAAATCTGGAGGTAGTGGGGATTGAACCCAGGACCTCATGCATGCTAAGCAAGCACTCTACCACTAAGCTACACCCTCCCCAGAGACATACTCTTTTGAAAGGGATAGGCACTTCAAAGTGAGTAAGAATTTCTCAATCTACTATCCTTGAAAGCTACATTTTAATGGCTTACAGGAGTGAACTGTTTGGGGTTTTCTGCAAAGTTTGAATGTGACAAATAGGAATGAGGCTATTCTTATATACTGCTCAAAACTCTACAAAGTAACCTTTCTTTTTTCCTGTATACTTTGTGCCACATAGCTTCTTATTTCCCTAATGCTTGTCACAAAGGTAGATTGGAAAGATTTCAAGTCTACCCCATCATGAAAATATAAAGATCCCAACTCAAAATATCACAATATGAGAAAAAATGAAACATACAAATTAATATTAGCACTTCACTGATACAGCCCCAAACGTTCTTTATAACAATATAAGATGTATAATGACCTATAATTGCAAGCGTGAAAACCTTTTTTGCTTACGCACCTCAGGGGCTGAAACTCCTGAAGTGGGCAGAGTCTGCTGAAAAAGAGAAGTTCATATTAAAACTGAAAAAAAAAAAAAAAGTCAAACTGAAAACAAATACCAGTGAAGGTTCTTACATCACTACCCACCTGTGAAATAAATGAATACATTACAAATGCATTTCCTGGTCATAATTTTTCTGCTTTCATTAATAAGCAAAAATCTTTTCATGAAATAAGGAACACTCAGATGCGGAGGGGATAAGGGTGTAGGCTTGTGTATCTCAAATACAATTTCACATACTTAAAGTAGACTACTCTTTGATCAGCTTCACAGACTTCTCTCCAATAACACTGATGTATTACATTCATACTTTGGAATGAGAACTCATCTCCAAGTTCCATTATCCTTCATAAACTATTCCTACTAATTTTCAAGTTGCCCATTTACCCAGCCCACTATTTCATTTTCTGTTCCAACTCTCAGTCCTTTCTAAAAATACTCAGTGTCTTTTTGAGGTCACCAGAGCTTATGGATTTCGATTTTATTTTCGTGATACTCTGGAAATAAAAAATATATATATACTCCATTAATATTAGTAAAAATACAAATAAACAAATATCAAATGTTAGTTGGGAATAATTTTTTAAAAGATTAGGTGAAATACACTAAGGTTGGTCTTCAATTACCCACCACCCTTCCTTTTCTGAGTCACACTGGGGAAGTTTTTTTCTGGCAAGAAACAGAAAAGGTTACCAAAATCTAAAAGCCTGTGTCCTCTGGGACCTTATAACATAAAACACAAATTTGGAGGAATCGTTGGTAAGTCACACACATAATACTAGATAAAGATTTTCGGTGTCTCTGGGTGTGTAGGGGGAAGGAAGAAAGGCGGATGGGAAGCTAGGACTTCTTGGACATTTGTGTAACTCTGAAAGGAAGGGAGCGGTCAGCGCACTTGCATTTCCTCTCCTGGACCAAGCTATGTGAGGGGGGCTCTAGGCGGATCCCCAAGATGGGTCTGAAAAATATGGGCGCACAGATATTAATTTCCCCTCTTACCCAGCAGAACTCCAGGAAGGGAGAAAACCCCAAAAGAATAAACAGCTACATACGAGGTGATGAGGCCTCGGAAGACTTCATGGCTGCTCTTACAGAGAAGGACAAGAAGGACCCAATGCACCCAAAAGTGCAACAGCAAGAGAAGAAGTCCGGGGCAGCCCGAGAGAAAATTAAAGTGTCCAAGAACACAACTCTATTTAGAAGATATTTACATAATGTAAGTAAAAAAAAAATAAGGATTTTTAGTCAAAATAGTTCATGAAGTCTGGGAGGATGAACTTGGGCCAAATATGCCATCAACAGGAGAAGCTTGTGAGGGTAATGGCTGTTGTTTCTCAGATAGATTGACAATAGGTTTTGTAGAACTTTCACTGAAAGCTTCCTGATTTCAGAGGTGTTCTTGACTTCTGAGTCCAAGTTGGTCTACACCTGGGGCAATGGGTGATGGGGAACACGTTTGTGCCGTCTTCCAACAGGGACAGCTCAAAGCATTTTGTCAGCCTTACTATCTTTCTTTCTTATTTCTTGGTTAAAGCTTAGATTTGAATCAACATTTAAAGACACAAATGTAGCCCTTCCATCTTTATTATAATATGTAAGTGTTTGAACTCCTCAAATCCCGATTAAGTGCCTTATCGTTTTTTCTTTTTTTCTAATAGAGGTAATGGGGATTGAACCCAGAACCTCATGCATGCTAAGCATGTGCTCTACCACTGAGCCACCATGGTAACCCTCTAAGTGCCTTATCTTATCCTACACTGTTGGCCTGGGAAAGTCCCGGGGACTCTCAAGCAATCAAACCAAAATGCCCCTCCACCAGCCTCCAGGGCATGAGTCTCAGATGTCCTTTACATCAGCAAAAGTCTAAGCTTCCTCTTCATATGTCTGTACAGAGCAAGGCAATGGAAAGGCAAGTGAAAAGACTACAGCTAGCAAATGGTCCAGAACAGCCACCAAGTGCAATGCAGTAACTTCAAATAGCTCCTGTCCACCCCATCTCTACCACCAAAGAAAAGTAAAGGCTATAAAGGATATTTTTGAGATAACTGTGGGCATCTGAATATAGACAGGATAATTATTGATATGATGGAACTGTTAATACTTTCAGGTGTGATAATAGTACTGCAATTGTACAGAAAATTGCTCTGATAGTAGAACATGCCTACTAAAGTATTTAGAGATGCGGTGTTACACTGCCTGCAGTTTACTTTGGAAATGTGTACACATGCCTGCAGTCATACATATATAAAGAATGATTAAAATATATAAAGTATACATATATATATAAAGAATGACTGAAACAATAACAATTACTGCATGTAGAGTGGGGATACACTGCATTCACTGTACTGTGTTTCAGAATTTTTGTAATAAAATTTGGGAGAAAAATTGATTTTTTTTTACCTTTATACTACACCCTCTAATTCTGAAAATAGTGAAAATATGTTTCTACAATGAAAAAAATATATGCGTGTGTGTGTATATATATATAATCCAGCAAAAACATGAAGTTTCTAGAAGTTTGGTCAAAACAGCATGGGGGTAGAGTATGGGAGGGGAAGTTCTCTTTATAAAGATGAGGAAATCTAGGTAAGTATCTAAGTTGCTGGGAGAGAGAAGCAGAGGGAGACAGGGAGGGGCCATTGGAAAATAAACAATAAAAGGGGGTTCTCTGAAAAATAATGTTTCAGATGAGACAGAAGCTCACACAGACAGGTATTGGCCTTTTCCAAATCTGTTCATTTTGAAGGAATGACTCATGATGGAGAAAGAGGTCTGAGTTTGCACTCACAGGAGCTTCAAATGCAAAAACCTACAGGAGCCAAGAGGGTAATACAAACAGGCCTGATGCCACAAAAGGCAAAGACTGTGCTGAGTTGGATAATACAAATCCCGTTTTAAGGCATCCGCCCAAAACACACTAGGGGATGAAATGGAAGCCGAGCTGCTATTTTGCTACCACTTTTGTAGAGAATTTGTCATTTACAGATACTCACGTTTGCAGGCTTCATCTTTCTCAGATTAGTGGGCATGTGAGTTATCTACTGAGGGCGAGTGAAGCTGGCAGAGAGGCAGTGAGAGGAAGAACGCAAGGAAATTATAGAGACTTTGTCACTGCTTCTCCGAGAATGGGAAAGCAGCTGATGAGGAACAGGACCAAGCAAAACTGAGGGCTCAGCTAGAACCAGAAGTAATAAATATGTAAGAGAGAAAGCCACCGGTTACGAGAATTCCTCCAGCAATGCTCAGCCGTCTGAGAGCAACACTAGAAGTTCCTTCCAAGAAAAAGAGTGATAAAAACAACATATATATGAGCTCACTTTCAATCAAGATGTGTAGGCAAAGAGTGTATGTTAAACTAACATGCTCACCAGTAGCCTAAACCTGAGTTCCAGTAAGCAAACCATGGACTTCGGGTAAAAGACAAAGCAATTTGATAACAAAACAAACTCAGATACTACATACTTCTTTTTCACTCTTCTGTATATATTTTTTAAATATCAAGGATGAACAGAGTAAATGTTTTCATTTTCTGAAAATTATCATGAGTGTCTAACTCTAAATGTAATGTATTTTTAATCAGAATTAATATAGGAACTGTGTATTTTTTATTTAATCCAATGTGAAGGTGTGACTAGAGAGGAATGTGACTGATTTCACTTAATCAGTATCATTTTAATATTAAATAGAATACACAGTACAGATAATTAGTTTAAAAGATGCATTTGCCTTCAGGGCACTTATTAAGTTTAACCTAATGTCAAGAATTTTTTTTAAATCCTATTATTCTTAAGTATTGAGATATCTCTTGTCTTCATATTTTCTAACATGTAATCATTTTAAATTGACAATTTAATCCAAATTGTCGTAGGACTAAGAACAAAAAATCTTTGGTAGAGAGATTACTGGAGGTTTGACTTAGTTAAAACAAGTAAGAGTAAAACACTCACATTAAAAGGTCATCAGTTATTTCAAGATAAAGTAAAATGAACAGAATTATACCTTATGCTATATAAGAATATTAAAATTTTTAAAGTCACTTTCACGTTTATGATCTTATTTAGTCCTCCCAGTAAAACAAGACACCCCATTTTGCAGACTGGAAAAGTGTGAATCAGAAAGTTTAGATGACTAGCCAAGAAAATAAAGTTAGTTGCTCCCCTGTCCACACTTCATTTATGAAAACAACAGGAGGTTCAACAAGAATTTTTTTTTTTACAGTTCCTTTCCTGTGGCCATATCTCTGCTTTTTAAGTGATCTGGAAATCAAATTAATTTAAAATGTTGATGAACCCTGCCAAATATTTAGAACCACAATGTATCCTTGTTCTGGATGCCAGAACAGGCTTAGGTATCAGTATGGATTCATTTCATAGGATAACATCTAACGCAGTGGTAAACATAAAGAGGCCGAATAAAGCTATTTAAAAAAACGTGTTTTCTGTGTGTATGATTGGATATCTCTGACATCAAAAAAGTGAGAGACAGGAAAGCAGGTTTGGGAAAAGAACAACTGTCTTCCTTAAATGGTGCACTGCCTCGGCCGAACAGAAGCTGTTCCTTCCTCACACAATGATAATACACTGTATTGAGGGCAACTATCTCCAGGTATAGAAACTAAACACGTACTTGGTTTCCAGGAATTTTATTTTTACATTGAAGCTTCGTAATTTCTTTAACCTTTTGTGAGTCTGCAGATCTTTAAGTATATGTACTCACAAAACCTGAACACAATATGTATTATGAAAGGAAGTGGGTCAAAAAATGATTTTTATACTATGATTGTATTTATTAACATCTTTAATCAAAGGTTATTTCAATATATGACAAGTATGTCACTTAGAAGAATCATAAACTGTTTTCCTTTTCCACTGGCACTTCGACATATCTAATTAAAAGGTGACTATCAACAATAAAATCCTTTAGAAGATAGACATGTTGCAATCTTATCCAGCATCCTCTCCTTAACCACTTCTCCCTGGAACTAAATTTTT